CACTATTCAAACCAAGCTAACGCACAAAGCTTTTACTAAGATTATACTGATTTTCATATTGTAACTAACTTCTAGTTATTTCTAATCAATATTTCTTGTTACTTATTTTTCAACAAAGAGGTTAAGTGTTAACTCAGGTAAAATCTTTGGCAAAATTCAGCCTACGTTTTCAAATTAGTTTTCTATAATATGCATTTAAGAATAACTAAATCAATATATTAATTTCTTGAGTAAGGCTCTCCAAATTTTAAGCTACCTGGATGAAAAAAAGAAAAACTATGTTCATCAGTAGTACATTAAACAAGCTTAGCTTCAGGAAATGTCATGTTGCAAAAAATGATTCAACATCCTGATTATTACAATCTTTGCCAGTTCCTTCTGGTATAGGAGTTGATTTACATGTCAATAACACAAAACAAAAATTTATGTTCGGTTAATAAAAAAATAATATGTTTGAAATACTGCTTTCCATGTTTTGTTTTACCTATAAAAAAGTAAACATTTGGTTATCTATTTATAAATATGAAATATTATATTCACTTTAGAATTATAATGAAGGGTTGAAAATAAGGTCATTTCTAGTTATATCTGACTACAACAAGTCAGTAAGTTTCAAAGTTATTTTTTAATTATGAGCTTCAAATAACCACATTAATTGAAATATTCAAATTAGCAGTTCAACTAGCATTAGACATACATTTGTGCAAAGTATAGTTTTTAAAAAAATTAAAAGTGGCAGTTAAGTCTTTAAAAACATCACTTTAATAAGCAGCTACTGTGTTCTGAACAGAACATTTAATACGGCTTACAAAGTTAGAGATAACAATACAAGAAATCTGTTATGTACATTGGTACATAATACTACATACACAAGCACCCCAAAACTTGTAACTTACATATATAAAAAAACATAACTTTTCTTCTTTGCCTAATATTAACTATAAATAAAGAACAAAATCTACACAAATATGAATGTAAAACTAATCACATAGCAAAAAATGTTCCTACATTTAATCAATACTTGATTTTTAATTTTAGCTTGATTCAAGATTCAACAATACTTTTTAGAGACTAGAATCACTGACAGATGTATTGCTACTCTTCTTTATGCTACAAACTAACACCAGCCCAGTACTGATCTAGCACATACAAGTCACTGGGTTGTTCAGTCATTAGAAGTACCTATAAACCTTCATTATCATACTTATGATCATATTTTGCTTTCAGTTATGTTATTATTATTATAATAAGATACAGAAACTTTCTATCCCTGCTCTTCACTTCAGTAAATAACAGAACTAATGTCTAAATATATTCCTTCAATATAGGGATCAGAAATAACAGTTTACCTAAGTTGCACAGGTTGACTATATTCTTTCCTAAACCGTTTCAGATCTTCACGGTACGAGTTCCTCAAGTTTTCTTGCTCCATTCCATCAATCACCCCATTTACCAAAGTTGAAGGTGGTGGTAATTCTCGAATATTGAATGTACAATCTCACATTAAGAATTCAAACCATTTTTACCAAACTATCTTCTCCTTTGTTTATATACAACATAATTTTAATATATGCAAAGTTAACAAATTCACACACATTGGAAGGGCTTTTTTTAGGACCACAAGATCTTTCACTGTACACTTCTTTCTATTTACAACTGAGAAAGCTTGTTGTTGCTATTACATATATTACAGGAAAACAGTAAGAAGTGAAGAGCTAATCAAAAACCAACAGAAGAAGTAAAACATTTTTACAGCAAAATTAACTTTTACATTTTTACTATTCTAATACCAGTAGAATGATTGGTATTTTACACTTAACATTATATCTAACTAATAATTACATACTAATCACATCATCACATACAAAAGTTTGATCAACAGTCACAAATCTTGTAAATAAAACAGAAAAATAATCAAATACTAGTCAAAAAAGAAACACTTACAAGAGCAAAAACTTCTCAGAACCAAAAGGAATTTCTTGATCTACACACACAAAATATGTTGATAAACTAATTCAAACTGTTTTATATTCCTTGAATATTCCACTCAAAGTTTAAACTGAGCTAACAAATGCAGTGATCCACAGAGGATGGTATGGGCTGTACAAGTACACTACACTAATCCTTTAATACTGACCTACATCCATATACTGTTGTTTAACTGCTTATAAGTACATGATAAATGAGGAAGTCCTGTCCTGTCTACACATAACAAAATAGCAATGAATGGGCATCCTCTTGGCAAGGAAACAGGACTGAACTTTTATTTTTCCATAAGAGCAAACAGTTGAAACCCTAAATACATAAATATTGGATATGTTACTTGTGGTGGGGATGAAATATTGTTAAAAGCATAACATAGGCCTTCATGCACAAGGAAATATTAATTTGCCATTAAATTGGATATTAGTGAGCTTTTTAATCATCCTGATCTATAGAGGCTTTCTGAGAAGTTTAAAGGAAATTAAAAGTTTTTTTTATTGCAAGTCATTTCCAACTCTGCTCCATTACATTACCAAATATAAATTCTCCTAATAAAGTGTTCTAAAAGAAATATTATAATAAAAGAAACTTCTATGAAGAAAGGTATTTCGGAAAAGTGCACGAGCCATCAAGTACTTTTATATAAATGTGTTTATGAATTAATAAATTAGGATTACTGCAATAAAAAAAGAGACCATGATAGCAATACCTGAAAAGTTACGAAAGAAGTAAAAAACAATTAGTTATCACTTTGCATTCAATAACTGATTCATTTATACTAAATAACTCGTACAGATGATACAAAATAGTATTCATGATATAAAGATGACTACTGATACTATTCAAATAAATTTAGTATATATCTTTATGCTGACTGCAATATTGTTTTACAAAATAAAATAAAAAGTTACACATTTTATTCACATAGAACTTTAATAATTCATAAATAAAGAAACAAAAGTTTAAAAATTATTGCAAAATTTGTTAGATGCACTGGTTCTGGAATCAATGGTCATGAACACATAATTTTAATAATCAATTAACCTACAGGCCTCAATCATAATGGACAGTTCATCAGCCAGGGGTCAGTCCCTTTCCCACTCTCCAGGTAATGCTGTGTTAGTTACTCATGGATTAGCAACTAGGACACTGACTGGACTACACTCAAAACAAGTAGTAATTTGTGTTGCTAGTTCAGGGTTTTATTATATGATACAATGGTGTGGACCATACTACACATTACAGAGACATGAATGCTATATTATAGAAACCACGATGACACTTAACTTGAGGACTGTTATGATACACAGGTTTATGTGACAATACAAGATGAATAACTGTTGAACAATTATAATGCAAATACAACATGCAATACTGAATGATAGCCTATTCATTAGAGTTTCAATTAAACATGATAGCAGGCAATTCCTTACTAAGAACTTTCCACAGTCTTCTTGCTTAAAGGGTTTTTCATAACTCATTGCCTTTCTATCTCTGTTTCTCCTATTTAAATAATGCTAAACCCTGCATTAGACAGCATTTTATATGATCTTTCTAAATGTCGACTACCCCAATTATGGACTCACAAATGGCATAAATAGTATGCAACATTGCCCTTTCTTAGGTGTAATATCCAAGAAAACTATTCATTTAATTGTGACATTCTGGTGCCTTTACAATTATTCATATTCAAAGTATAATCTCTGGTTAATGTGTAGTAGCTTTGATGGCATAGCTTGAGTTTTCAGCATCTACTTTATCCTCTGCTTGCCAAGTACACTGTTCAAGATCATAGTACCTCCACAAGCAGTTGACATAAATAACTTTCACTTTTGCCCAAAGTTGCTTGTGTATCTGAATGTATGACATCAGAGCAAGCATCCACACTTGATATGATCCTTCTTATTTGTTTGAAACCTAGGCATGCATCCTTATTTCCAATAATACTATGGTGCCATATTTTCTCTCTTGGGTGAAACAGTACAGAGTTGGTCAGCTTAATAAATAAGTTTTTCATAGCATATCCCAGATTAAGTTACTTTTCTCTAAAGTGCTGACTGATATCTTTTAGACAATGGTGTAACAGTTGTACCGTGACTTTTGAGAGCAATGCTTCTCCTGGAGTTGTCCTGGTTTAAAGCTAAATTCATAGACCTACCCTGAGATTTCATACTACCTGCTAATGGATTCTGGATATGTCATTCTTCCACAGATGTGGTTCTTCATTTTACCACTAACAAGGGTGAGTGTCATGATATAAAAGACTGTTTAGTGTAGATATTAATAATTTATTTATTCCGTGAGTGAATATTTTAAGATTGTTTAGTTTTGTTCATAACAAGAGATTTAGAGGTAATTATATTAAAGTAAATGTAATGAGAATTTTAGTTACGTAACTTGGTACGAGTCGTACGTTGTGTTTGTAACTCATTGGTGTCAAGATTATCAAAAGTCATGTGAAATTTATTGATGTTGAGGATATAGCGAGCAGACAATTAAGTAATAAAGATATAAATAGTGTGAGATGTTCGGGAAAAATACAGACAGACAGACAAAGACAAAGCAGATGAGAAGAAATTTGGCCAAAGAAGTGTTAAATGCAAAGTTAATCGTCGTAGAAGTGGAAGACATAATGGTTGATATGTTAGAGTGAAATTAATGGTGTTGAAAGAGATAAGAAAAATAGTTCATTTCATCAAAGAGAGTTCTAAAGTAATTGAACTAGCCTTAGTGGACTTTCACAAATAGACAGATGATTCTCAGAAATACAAAGATAGAAAACAGGAGCAGATGATTTTAGAAGTGTAGGATACAACTGTGGTTACTCAACAATGAAGTAAGTAAACTATACTCAGATAGCTTGGCCATAGTAATAGAGAAAAATAATTCAGCTTGTCAACTGAAGTTTTAAATCGATTTAAGTGGACTTTTGTGAATCCATATAGCCTTTTGATTAGCCCAATTACTCTCTTGAGGTTAGTTTGGCACATTTTTGCTGTTTTTTTACCTAGTATGTCTTTTTTTTACAAATTTCTTGTTTGAACCTGTATCCATGGTCCCATTTCAACCTATCCATACAACATTCCTACTTGTCTAAACACTACTGATGTTACACATCCAGATCAATCATGTGGGTATAGAATTTGCCCATGCATTCAATTTATGCATATTTTCTGTTTTAAAGATCAGGCATGGATGTTGTCCTGCATGCTTTCACTGTTACTGCCACTGTTCCAGGCTTTCTAGTTGTTCCTGTATGTAGTTTATACTCTATTTTTACTCTGAACTGGCTTGCTTGTATTTTGGTGACGATCTCTTGGTTATTAACTTGCATACCAATCTTTAAAGTAGAGATATCATCCATTAACAAGGCAATTTTGAACTCATTGCTTATGGTGTGCTTTTTTTTTATACCTACCATGTTACTTTTAGTAGATTTCCCAATTTTAACTTGTTCTATGAGCATGGGTGGGGTCAAAGTGCACATGCTATGACCTTGTACAGAGTGCCAGTCAACATGGTATTATTAAATTGATGTGAGAATTATCAACTTTTCATTTTACCTTAAACTACTGATTTTGCAGTAGTTTTAAGAGTAGAGAAAATAGTATAAACAAACAGTTTATTAACAAATATGATTTTTGTGTACAATAGACTTGTAATGTTTACTAAGAGTTTGCCACATTTCGTGAAGATAAACATAGTAAATTCAGCATTATATGCAACATTACTTCTCCAGTATGGCTGTCAGTCCATTGGACTGACTCTTATGCACATTCATTTAATCCCTGAACTGTCCTAAATTATCCATACCAACATCACTTCCAGAAACAGACACATGTGACTTGAAAAGACTTGTACTGTTTGACACTCACAACTTGGGTTATAATGGAAACAAGATTTTAAAAAATCACTGTTTTACTCTACTTCAAAAATATTTTTCAAATATTTTTGGAAGATTTTAACTGCTATGTCACAGCCAGCTGTACTGAAAATGGCTGTAGTGTAGCACTTTAGTGGAAAAAATATCTATCTCGAGTAAACCTGTATTTATATATGATGCTCAAGAATGAATGAATGATGAACAATTACATCACAGAATACGGGCACACAACAATGAACTAACAGTTAATAAAATATGTTAACAATATTTAATAACTTTCCATTGTTGGCTGATCAAGGGTTTTTTTCCAAGGCAGCTAAATGGCTTCTTTCTCTCTTATTTAAATCCTACATGGCATTGCCCAAGGCTACATTATTTCAATCTTTCCACGTACTTGTTTCACATGTATATTGCACTATCCAAAATCATTCATAGAATGATCACGAACTGTCAAAATAAACACTGGTGGGTCTTGTGTTTGATATGGACAACTAATGCCTTATTTTAGAGACTACTGGGTAATGAAACTATGCATATAATATGTGAGGGCATGGAATACAGGTCTGCTGTAGTACACATACATTACAATTAGAAGTACAATACTGGAAACTCAAATTTCTAATAACAAAGAGGAATTAGCAATAGAAACAAACTCCACAGCAACTTGACTATTAAATTGTTTCTAATATGGTTAATGTGATCTCAAAAAAAGCAACAGATAAAATGTAGAATTTTTTTCATAATAATATATTCATACAAAAACTGAAATCTGCTGTGAGAGCTCATAAGTTGAAATGCTGACTAAAGTTTTAAATATAGACTTTATACAGACATGAGGCTCTAGGACCATTTTTTTTCATGAAGAATTAATTTTCTTTTTTCATTATACTTCACAACCTACTCTTTATGTTTAGAATATTTTTGCTCTTTGATAAATGAAAGAATTAAAAAAAAAACAACTGATAATACATTCTGACCACCAATAATTGAAATACTTATTTAATTTAGGTTGATCACACAGAACATCTGTTCAATGCTTTAAACTTAAAGTAAATCTTGAACGCCTTTTTGATTATTTTACAACCGTGTTGATAAAAACACCTTTTAACTATTACCACTACGTTAAAGTTAGTTATTAACAGTCTTTCTGATTTCTCAGATTATGTTCAACATAAGCCAAGCACTAAATACAATTACACCATAATAATGATCAAATAGTAAAGGATATCTTTCAATAAGTAGATCTAGCAGCTCTTGGGGTTGACAGAAAGATCGAAACGTTGTCAGAAATGTGCGCACAAACATGGGATCAGCATACATGTGATAGGTCAGTCTCTCTACCAGCTTCAGTAGCGTGGCTCCTTTGATCAGTGGTACTCCAGCATTTGTCTTGCCCTCTTCAAAGATTATGTTGCTTTCAGAGTCCTCAACTGCAAACCTGTATAAAAAAAAACAGAATTTTGTTATAAATATCATTAAACTATCACTTATTTCACTGTAATTTAAAACTGAATGCACTATTGAAATTACATAAAATAAATTCAACTGATAATAAACAGTAGGAAATAAGTACTAATGTATTGTAGCTAAATTGTATGTCAAATAAGTAATTACCTATTCTCATCAAATCCTACTATATCTTACCAGCAGATCAAATTTTATGAATCTTAATAAAATCGAAAATGTTCCTGAACATTGCATGATTTGTTTTCCTAAGTACAAAGCTATACAATGGGCTTGCTGCGCTGTGCCTACCATACAGGTATTGAAATGTGGTTTTTAGCATTGTATGTTCTCAGACTTACTACTGTGTCAAGACAGGTACATCTTATAGTAAAAAAGTATACAAGATAATTAAAAATTGTTAATTTAAAAAGGGAAATACAATACCTATCAGTTTTAGTTGAATCAAAATAGGACTTGTAGCTTGAGAAAATAATGTAGACACTATTTCCAACCTTGTTTGTTACTTTTTTAAGAGTCCTTACCTGTAGGCTTGAAAATATAATCTTTGCATTTTGATTCAGCTTGTTTCTGTACCTTTTTGATGATTCCTATTCCCCTTTTTAAATGAACTATTTATTATTATCTTGTTTCTTAAGTTTTTTATGTCCATTTATGGCGATTAAATTTGAAGCTTCATACGTGCATATGCATTCAGTTGAAAGTTTCATGTTTTTCAACAGTTTACTACTGCATTAGCTTTTTTCGACCCAACCATTATTTATTGAACCAGGTGGTTTTGTGTCTGAGGTTTCGTGTCAAAGCTACACGAGGGCTACCTGTGCTAGCCATCCCTAATTTTGCAGTGAAGGACTAGAGGGAAGGCAGCTTGTCATCATCACCCACTGCCAACTCTTAGGCTACTCTTTTACCAACGAATAGTGGGATTGACCGTCACATTATAATACTCCCACGGCTGAAAGGGCGAGCATGTTTGGTGGGATGTGGATTCGAACCCGCGACCCGCAGATTGCGAGTCAAGCACCCAAACCACCTGGGCATGTTGGGCTGTTTAACAAGCATCGAGTAGAACAGAAGCCGCTCACAACAGCATCACATATATTATGTATTTATAGCCACGTAAATCAACTTTCAATAAAAAATAACCAACTTTTTAAATAGGTCATGGACAGTTTCAGCGTTTCATATAATGTTTCTGTCTAGATTTTGGTGTAGGCTTGAGAAACAAAAATTTGAATTATAATAATAAAATAATACTAAAATACACACTAACAATTTCAGTGAAGTACGAAAATCAGTAGAATAAATCACCACTTACAAGAATAGAGAAATATACTATGGTAATCGTCTACTGTTAGAAAACTCACTGAAATAGCCATAAAATACCACACAGAGACAAAGTACAACAGCCAACTTGAGAAATGATGAATCCTTAACCATGCAGTTTCCAATTAATGCAAATTAGTGAAACACTGGATTTTTTCAAAGGCAGAAAGTGAAGGACTTAAGAGGAATTCTTCACAGCAAAAAAACTAAGGTGCTTCAATTAATTTTAAAACTACCCTATGACATACTCAATACCACATTAATTACTATGGTCCAGGTTTCAGTAAAATATTTGCAGCCATTTGTTCTGTAGTGGCTTGTAAAACTATAATTAATAATAAGGCTGGAGACTGTTATAAATATAAACATAATTTACTCTAATAAAACAAAGCATTTCTGACTAGTATGAAATGGAGCATTTCAAATTAGTATAATGATGCTTAAATGTCTTCTACATTTTTTAACGGTTTTGTAGAGAAACTTAGCCGATAGCAAGGAAAAACTTATAAAATCTCTCCTCTTTCAAAAATCAACATGAAAATAGTCCTATGATCTGCACAGGGTTTCTTTTTTAGTAGGAGTGTCCAGGTTTGAATAAATTATTCATAGCCATTTTTTTCTGCATGCTTGTGAAAGAAGAATAATATGAAGAACAAATCTGAATTTTGTCTAAAAATCAGAAAATCAATTTTTTTTGCTATTATCAATATTTCAGCAGTCTTAGCCACTGAGATAGAAGGTTTTGAGTGTTGTTTCAAGAACAAGTCTGCTTTTTAAGATGGTTTTTGGCCGTATGTTGTATTAGCATTTTTGTGAAATTCCTGGGTGATCCCTATTATTAATCACTATCATGTTTCATGATAATTAAGTGAATTTGGCACTACATTAACATTATACTTTTTTGACACATTAGTTAAGAACTATTATTAATTAAAGAGATAATATTTATGTATACCTGTACTCTTCAGGAGGAGGTAACCTCAGAGGATGTTTCTTCTCTTCACCTAAGAGGATGCTGTCTAGAGTTCTTTCTAGCATACTGAAAATAAAAATTAATACTTTAAAAATGTCCATGAAAAAATATTTTTACACTTGTTCACTATACTAACTGTATCTGACAAGACTACAAATATTATTTCAGATTCTGTTTCCATTTTTTGCTTTTAGTTGAAGAACATTAAGAACACAGACAAATGAAAAGAGTATTACTGGTTACAATTTTAAGTTTTTTCTTTTAGTATTTTCATAATATAATAGTTGTTATACCTTCTGTAGTGTTTTCTAATTTAAGACCCTCACACAATGTACTGCTATTGGCATTTATTCTCCCGACCACCCGTCTCGGTAGAAAAAACATTGTATATGAAGCAAGAGTGGCGCTAGTAGCGCAAACAAGGTTTTGTAAAATTAGTACACAATAATAATATAACTGAAATATACATAAACATAAAATACAAAGTGACAATGCAGATATTACAAACCTTTTTCCTTTGAATTTTAAAACATTAGAAGTCCCATTACATTGAATAATGTTCAAAGTTCAAAACTGTTCACTAAATGTTTATCACGGTCTTCTCGAATGATTTGGTAGTAGTTATAGAGAAGTAGTGTTTATAAATCACAAATACAGAGCAGCGATCCACTTACACTCTGTATAAAAAATATATATCCAAAAATTGGTGTAACAAACAGAATTACACCTTCTATCCAACTTAACTCTTGGCTCACATATTAGCCACTATTTGCATACTGACAACTTCTCTGTAAGTGTAAATGTATAAAATTTCAAACAGTATCTCAAACCTAAGACAAAACTGAAGTAGAAATTACAATGCAGGAATTGTAAACTGTACATTAGTGAGAGAAAAATTTGTAGAAACAGATCCAAAATAATAGTGTTTTGTATCTGAACTTGTTGAATATTTTAGTAGTGAAAACAAAAATCTATAATTTCTTACCTTCTTGTATCTAAAAGAATGAGATTAGCCATCCAGATAGATTTTTCTTCTAGACTCTTACCAAACAATATAATGTGAGGTTGGTCTCTAGGAGCTATTTCAAAGGCAAATTTGAGTTCTATAAAATGAATATTCAAAAAGGAATTAGAATATAATCTTTTTTTAAACACACACACACACAAAAAGAAAGTAAACTACCCTAAACTTTGTAACTTTCGTTTTACAAAAATAAAATAACTTCATTTCAGGCCTTCAAATGTATTTCTATTAAGTTATAAGGATAATTATAGGACAGCTTTATCTCAAAATATAGGAAAAATTACACAGATTCATAGAATATTACAGGTGAATATATGGTTGATAAATTAAATTTATGGTGTTAAAATGTATCATAAAATTGTTATAAAGTCATTTTAGCATGTTTGACCACTGTAATAAAATTTCATGTAGATTATGATTATGTACGAGTATTTTGACTTGTTACAGTATTACTCCTGAAAAACAGAATATACTACTGGAAAAAAGTAAACAAAACATTATACATCCCTCATCAGATACAATAATGCCAAATGAAATATTTTTGAACAGAAAACATCTTCATACAGCATTTCATGAAAGATAAACCAAGCAGTAATAGGGTTAATAGGACTTAAATTAATACATATATATAACTTACAAACATATGATACAAATCTAAAAAGATTGTTTAACGATAAATTATAAAAAAATCTTATATTATGAAATCTCCTCCAACAATAATATTCATTCTTTCAGAAGTAAAAAAGTATGGAGGTACCAGTAAATACACACAACTTGACACAGGATTTTTTACATTATAAGGACCTGGAGTGTGAAAACACTCAAGAGAGTCAAATGTTTTGCTAAATACAAGGGCTTTATAGAACAGACATACAGTGGCTTACTCAGCATTCTAGAATCAAACTCTAAAATTCAACAAATTATAATTTTTGAACATTTTTTTTTAAAGCTGTTATTCGTATAAATATAAATTCAAAAATTTTTGAAGTCAGAATACAGAGTATCTTATTGTTATATCAAATGAATAATACATATGCTAATAACCCATTACTGAAAGAAAAGAAGAACATGTTATAATATGTCAATCATACTACATTTGCCATATCTAGTGCCAACAAGGCCTTTTGCCCAGTACCAGGCCTCATTAGGCTAACTGGGGACACAACAAATGAAGTAGTGGTCTATGCATTACATATATATATATATATATATATATATATATATCTATTATTTCTATGTAACAACAACTGTTAGTAGGTAGTACGAAC